TGGAAACTGATATCAAGCGGAGTACCCCAGGGGTCGGTCCTGGGTCCGGTTTTGTTCAAAATCTTTATTAATGATCTGGATGATTGGATGAATTGCATCCTCAGTAAGTTTGCAGATAACACTAAGCTGGGGGGAGAGGTAGATACACTGAAGGGTAGGGATAGGGTCCAGAGTGACCTAGACAAATTGGAGGATTGGGCCAAAATAAATCTGATGAGGTTCAACAAGGACAAATGCAGAATCCTGCACTTAGGAAGGAAGAATCCCATGAACTGCTACAGGCTAGGGACTGACTGGCTAAGTAGTCAGTTCTGCAGAAAAGGACCTGGTGATTACAGTGGACGAGAAGCTGGATACAAGTCAGCAGTGTGCCATTGTTGCCAAAAAGGCCAATGGCATATTGGGCTGTATTAGTAGCAGCACTGCCAGCAGATCGAGGGAAGTGATTATTCCCCTCTATTCGGCACTGGTAAGGCCACACCTGGAATATTGTGTCCAGTTTTGGTCCCCCCCACTACAGAAGGGATGTGGACAAATTAGAGAGAGTCCAGTGGAGGGCAACAAAAATGATTAGGGGGCTGGGGCACATGATTTACGAGGAGAGGCTGAGGGAACTGGGCTTATTTAGTCCGCAGAAGAGAAGAGTGAGGGAGGTTTTGATAGAAGCCTTCAACTACCTGAAGAGGGGTTGCAAAGAGTATGGAGCTAGGCTGTTCTCAGTGGTGGTAGATGACAGAACAAGAAGCAATGGTCTCAAGTTGCAGTGGGGGAGATCTAGGTTGGATATTAGGAAAAACTATTTCACTAGAATGGTGGTGAAGCACTGGAATGGGTTACCTAGGGAGGTGGTGGAATCTCAATCCTTAGAGGTTTTTCAGGCCCGGCTTCACAAAGCCCTGGCTGGGATGATTTAGTTGGGGATTGGTCCTGCTTTGAGCAGGGGGTTGGACTAGATGATCTCCTGAGGTCTCTTCCAGCCCTAATATTCTATGATTCTAGGATTCAAGCAGACAGCCTCCAGCCCCTTCATCACAGCTTGTTGCGCTTCTTTCCAATTCCTGAAATTTAGCACCATACTCCTCGCACAGAGGTAGACATACTGGCAACATGGTTTATACACCCCAGGCCACATGCAATACAACAAACGAAAGCACATTGGCTTTTCTTGTTGTTGTTAAAGTGCATATACCAAGCTTTATTGTGCTGGGTAGCTAGTAATAGCTTTGCCAGTTCATCATTAACAAGATTAGTGTTTAACAAGATACTTGTTTTGGGGCTATGTTCGGTCAGGAGCCCAGGCTTCAGACAGGATTAAAAGAGCAGCTGGCTAAAGGTTAAGAACAGGTTTTTTTCCTTGTTTATTTCTTGGTTGGGAATGGACCACCAAGGTCATCCAGCTCATTCCCTGTGTTGTGATAGTTCAGAACCAGCTTGAGAAAGTGCTCTCATGCCACAAGGGGTCAGATTCTTGCTGCTAATGGCCACATTTTCACAAACCAAGGGGCTAAGTTGTGCTTGTCAGCTCTGCACAGAAAGCCCAGACAGGTGTGGCTGCAAACAGGTGACGGTGTGCAGCTGAAAACTCCGCACAATCACCAGTGTGCATGTGCCCCGGGGGCAGTGTAGGCACCTCTGTGTGAAAATTAAACCCCATGGACTAAATCCTGATGTCAGTTATCCCCTGTGTAAAGCTGGAGTGATGCCGTGAAAGTCTCCAGAACAACTCCAGATTTACACTGGTGTAATTGGATCATAATCTGGCCCTTCTAGGCCTGAGTTCAAGAAAGCACTTCAGCATGTGCTTAACTTTAAACACCTGCTTGGAATCAATGGGACTTAAGGATGTGCTTAAAATGAAGCCTGGGCTTCAGGAATTTCCTGATCAGAGCTGGGCTCCTGGCCTTAGATGCCAGGGTTTTGGTTGGAACTTTACTGAAATGCAAGGCCTGATTCTCTTCTCATTCCCCTGGGTGTAAATCAGGAATAGCACCATGGGAGTCAACTGGCATATTTTATACTGGTGTACAATTGGTGTGAGATGAGAATCAGGCACGAAGAATCAAAACCATTCCAGACATGTCTGGCAGTCAATCCTCCAATGCTATTTTCTTGCCGTAGCCACACCCATTCTGACTCTAGTCCCATTTGACCAAATGACTAGGAAAATCTAACCAGCATGAGTGGCATTTGACTGATGGAAAAGGAATCACTTGCTGACCCATGGCCGAAGACAAAAAAACATTGATTGGCCTAGAGAACTGATTTGCTCAGAGGTCCAGCCAATCTGAAACCAATTTGTTCATAAAAATAGAGCATACAAAAATTCATTGTTCTTTAATGAACAAGCAAGTTTCTAATTGGCTGATTTCTTTCAGAAGAGGGGTGAGGGCATGATCAAAACCCAGAGGTGGATCCAAATTCTGGGGCTCGGCCCCATCTCTGGAACATTGCGGGGAGGTGTAGGATACCAGCAGCACAAGGGGTTGACCTGACTTCCTTTTCCAGAGAGCTCTTTCAGTCTTATTTCACTTGGGCTCTCCCCCTGCCCCCCGAGCCTCATTTCCCCACAATCCCTATTTGGGGGAGACCCAAACGCCATCCACCCACAGACCAAGTTAGTGAACTGAGGTGCTCGGCTGGCATTTGGGGATGCCCCTGACCACATCTCTCTCCCATCCTCTGCTTCAGAGGTGGGGTCTATATGTATAGATATTATTTCCCTTGTTCCGCATGGTTATTTGATCTCTTTTGTTCAGTAAATAATTTCAAATTCCCTGAGCCTCAAAAATGATAGTTAGGTAGCTGGACATTATTGTTATTAGTTTTCCACCTTTTTTTTGTTTTTATTAGTAGTATTTTGATTTATTTAAATATATATATATATATATATATTTCTGCCCCTCCCCCTGCTCTGATCAGTCCCCATTGCTCCGATTCCTCCCCACCCCCTCCCCTGCTCAGTTTTTGCCTTTGATTTTCTGCTTGGCCGATACATAGGGAAGCACCGTCTGGGTGCTTTTGTCCGACACGGTCTGTGTGCTGCTGTTCCTCATCAGTTTCCGTTGCTGAGTGGCACTCAGGTGAGGAGAGTGCCGCTGCGGCGGCGGCAGATTGGCAGTGGGTCGAGCCGGCGGCTTGTGCCCCGCCTCGATGGGCTCCTCCGGTAGGTCCTCGGGCAGCGGCACCCTACCAGTGCCTTCCTGGCTGTTCCCGTCGTCATCGTCACAACACAAGGCGTGGTAGAGCACCTTGTCACTGAAGCGGACCCGCTCCCTTATGCCCGGCGTCCTCTGGTGCTGGGCTTTCAGGTTGGGGCCGGAGCTGAAGGCCTCCTCGCTGGAAGAGTCGGGCGTCTCCACCCGGGGTCCATTAGGGGTCAGCACCCCGCCGTTCATCAGCCGGTAGTCTGGCTGGCGGCCTGGCTGCTGCTCCGAGCCGTCCCCAGAGTCTGACGGGGTGGAAACCTCCAGGAAGGAGCAGAACTCCCAGCTGTCAGAGAGGATGTCTGAGGTCATGAAATCCAGCTGGCCGAGGTCAAACGTGCCACCCCCTTTCTCGCTGCTGGATGTGCTGCTCACTGTGGCTGTGGTCCAGTCGTCCGGCTCTAGCTCAAACTCAAAATCCGATGTCAGCTTGTCAATCTGGCTCACTACCTGCATGAAGACAGAGTGAGAGAGCAATCAGGGGGATGGCGGGACCACTCCACAGCAAGCAAGTGGGCCAGCCTTAATGTAACGCAGTCCCACTGGGTGGGCCAGCCCTAGGAGGGCTTGAACCTGGTGTGACGTTGCACTCCATATGTGTTATGGAAATATGCTTATAAGTGTGAATATAATGTAACTGGAATATGCTTTATGCAAAAGGTCTCTTGTAAGGTATCATTACAGAGCTTATAATCTACTAAGTGTGTTCATCCTATTTGTATGAATGTATCATTCTTGTATCTGAAGCTAGAAATATGAAGTATTACTCTGAAGTCCTATTGTAACTATGCAAAGTGTGGGCCATTAATGGTGGTTTAGAATCTTGATGGCGCCCATTAACCAGGACAATTGGTTGTAAATGGCTCTGTTTACTTGTAAGCCTTCCTGTGTTTATGTGAGTCAGGCTGGAACGAATGGAGGTTTGGGGTCTCACAGGACATGTGACCATGTCACCTGGTACTGGAATCCATCTTAAACCTGGTTCTTTTCCATTTAGAAGGAAGGATGGGAACCCAGAGAGAGACAAAGGATTCCCGCCTTGTGCCAAAGATATAAAAGGGGGTGAAACAGAACAAAGGGGGCTGCAGTCATGAGAAATCCCCTAGTTGCCACCTGAACTGTACCAGGGGAAAGGATTGGGCCTAGACTAAGAAGGAGTCTAGTCTGTGAAAGAAGCTTATTGGAACATCTCTGAGGGTGAGATTTACCTGTATTCAGTTTCTTAAACGTATTAGGCTTCGACTTGCGTGCTTTGTTTTATTTTGCTTGGTAATTATGTTCTGTCTGTTATTACTTGATACCACTTAAATCCTACTTTTGATATTTAATAAAGTCACTTTTGTTTATTAATTAACCCAGAGTAAGTGATTAATACCTGGGGGAGCAAACAGCTGTGCATATCTCTCTATCAGTATTATAGAGGGCGGACAATTTATGATTTTACTCTGTATAAGCTTTATACAGGGTAAAATGGATTTATTTGGGGTTTGGATCCCATTGGGTGCTGGGTGTCTGGGTGCTGGAGACAGGAGTACTTGTTGAGTGTTTTTTGGTTAAAGTCTGCAGCTTTGGGGGTGTGGACTAGACCTGGGTCTGTGTTGCAGCAGACTAGCGTGTCTGGCTCAACAAGACAGGGTTCTGGAGTCCCAAACTGGCAGGGAAAATGGGCTCAGCATGTCAGGTGACAGTCCCAAGGTGGTCTCTGTGCCCGAACCCGTCACACCTGGGACCATTGGATCTGAAAGCGAGAGACTCCATTGCCTGAGCTAAAAGACTCTGTGCTCTTAAAGCCATCAGCAGACTCAAACTGCTCTTTCTCCTGGCCCCGAGAGGGAGACAGAGCAGCACTGTGCAGGTGTGCGATGCACTGGCATTTCCTCTCCATCGCAGAGCTAGGTTTGTGCTGGATTGGAGGCCACAGGTGAGATGAATTTTGGTGGGACTCAGCCTAGTTTTTAGCAAAGGTGGGCAAAATGGGTCAGGAACTAATCTGCACACACCCTCAACTGTCAAACCCAAATAGAAATGTCACTGAAATTCCTGAAAGCTTCCAGCTAGTATTTTCAGCTGTCAGGCTGGGCCTGAAAGTATTGACATGCTAGGAACAAGGCAGTTCTCCAGGCTGTTTCCACTGGCCCAAGAGGCCTGTGTCATTAGAGAAGCTCCAGCTAATCAGCTGAATCATGCTTCTGCAACACTCCCCAGACTTGTTTGTGGCTCCCCCAGCATCTGCCTTCGGGGAAGGTTGCTCACATCCAGTTGAGCATGCAGGAGGAACTTTGCTTAGGCAAAGGCTCTGGGACTGGAAGGACACATGGTAGGGCAGCTTCTGATGGGCTGCAGCCACCTCTGAGTGGTAACGGGAGTCAGGAGAGAAAGTCAGTGGCAGATGCCCCTAAGTCCCTGACTGGCAGGGGCTGGAGGAGAGCTGCAGAGCAGGAGTGTGGCACATTGGAAGACCTTTTTCTGTAGAGCTTCACATATGCTGGGGGTCCAGAGCTCCCAGTGGTGTCCCGGTAGCAAGTTCCCACTGCCTAGGCTGGGGGTGGGGTTTATACTAGTGGGTGTGAACAGTGCTGCCTCCAGTACAAGTAATAAGACACGCCAGGGCGCTGCATCAGGGTGTGGGAATCCTGCTTGGTGTTTCCTTTGACGTGCCAATAATAGATGCTAACAACCACGCATCTCATGCTAAGCGTGTCTCTCCACCATACGGCACTACCCAGTGTGGTATAGGCAGAGTTAGGAGATTGCATGGGTCAAACTACTTCCTGTTCTGCTTCCCACTGGCACAAGGCCCCTGGCTGCCTCCCATGACTGTATCCAGGTCTGGCTGTTTCCCTTGCTCTGAGATACACTTAATTCCCCTGTTTCTCCCTCGCTGTCTTATGCTCTCCTACAATGGTTTTCTCTTCCGCTTGCATTCGTCTATCGGCTGCTCTCTGCCCCCTTGCTCCCAGTGTCTCTTCCTCTTTCCTCCAGCTCTCTCCTTCTGGCTCTGCCAGGCCTCACCTCTTTTACTCTCCCTCTCTGCCCCTTGTGGAGGAAGAACAAAGCCCGAGGCATTCAGACAGGTCAGGCTGCTGATTGGGCTGAGACAAGGCTGGGTCAGAAACGGGCAGATCAGAGAACAGCCGGCATGGGGAGACACAAACAGAGTTGCTGGAGGGGTGCGCTAGCCTGGAAGCCACTGTATTTAAACATGCTGGGTCCAATTCGCCTCTCATTTACAACAGTGTATAACTCTCCTGATGCCTGATTTACACCAGCAGCAAAGCCCAGCCTTCTCCTTCTCTCTGTCCTTGAGGAGGATTCCCAAGCCTGGCTGATGCCTACCCGGCATGCACTGCCCTGGCTGCATTCTGGTTAGATTTCTGTACAGGTGTAATCTACAGTCATCCGCTCTCCCTGCAGCTCGCTGCCTGGCTCGCCCTGCTGCTCAGCACGCCGCAGCTCAGCTCTCCCAAGAACCAGCACTTTGTACTGTTAAACTCATCCCGGGCCTGATGGCCATGGGGAGGAGAGCAGGCTGCACTGACAAGGAGCTTTGCTCGGCAGCTTGGCCTGGGTGAACCCAGAGCAACTTCCCGCCAGCTGAGTTGAAGTTCCTCCTCCCGAAAGGGCAGCATGCAGATCCAGTCTAGGGGGGCTCTGCACGCACCCAAACACTTTGCAGATTTACACCCATGGGGCCAGATCCTCACCATAGTTCCATCGGTACTCCGATTTACCCCAGCTGAGGCTCTGCCCAATACATTAATATGTAGGGGGCCCGTTTTACTCCAACCTCCCCAGATTGCAGACTGCTCTGGGGTGTAATGCAAAAGCCATGATGACACCATCTTGGTCCTTTCTTTGCCAGGGATTTTGTCCGGGAGAGGCTTACCTAGTGCAAGTCCCATCTGATAGCAGCCCGACCCATCTGCGCCGAGGCTTGTCACTGGTGCCACACTCCCTGTCCAGCCAAAGCCAGACACTGCACTGATGGAGGACACGAGAGATAGCTGGAGTGGGATGGGGACTTAGCATTTCATCGCCCAAGTGGAGTTTGGCCAGGACATCGTAGAAGCAGTCAGGGCTTCGGAATCCTCCCAAACCCAGCACCCCCAGCAGCACAGTGCCCCCTAGGCCCAGGAAGGAGCACCCAACCCCAAGCCAACTAGAGGTGTCGTGTTCAGGTCAGGTCGGGTATGAAAACCCCTCGGCACTCTGGGCCTCAGGTCAGGTTCCGCCTGGCTGTGGTATAGCAGGGTTTGGGTCAAGCTTTACAATTAGTCCCAAGCAGGAGCAGACTTTAAGCAGCTCCCTAAGGTATAGCCTCTTCGATGCCAGCCTCCCCTCCCCCGGGGGAGTGTGCTGGGAAAGGAGGGGGCCAAGCAGCCCCTCCAAAGGGACTTCCCAGAAGCCCCAGCTGCTGCACTGGCTGGCAGGAAAGGATTCACCTGCCAAGTGCGTCAAAGACCCACAAAGCAGAGTGGTTTCAGAGGAGGAGAGTGAGCCCCATGGCAGAGGGAGTAAGCAGCCCTGCAAATACAGCAGCATCGCACTAGTCCCTCCTGCCCTAGGGGTGCAAATCTTCACCCAACCATCTTCTTTGCAACCAGGGTCTCTGCAGGGGATGCATGGCAGGCACCGGCTCTGTGCACTCCCTAGGTCCTCCCTCTCTGTGCTCTGGCTTTGTGGCTCCATTGCATGTGATTTGCATCTGCCACCAGTGTGCTAATAGAGCACCGGGAGCATTGCAGGGGCCTGAGTTTTCCACCTGACTCGGTTTTGCTATCAGACCCTAACGCCATCACAGCCTGGGATGGGACGGCTTCACAGACCCAGCTCAGCTCTTCCAGCACCAGAGGCTGTCAAAGATTTTGCTCCTTCAAAACAAGGACATATTTTCAATTGAAAACTAAGTCCAGCTCAGGCTCCTCCTTTCCTGCCTGCTGGATCCAGGACCAGAGCCCGTTCCAGGTCGTGGCAGGAATCCACTCCCGGTCCTTCCCTTGGCCCGTGTTCTAAACACATGCATAGCTGCAAGGACTTCTACGTCTGCCTGATACTTGTGCATGCAGCTCCCAAGTCCTGCACATTGGATTCCTGTGTCCCCCAGGACCAGACACTGGCTAATCCCTGGCTTCTCTTTCTTTGGCTGGCAAGGGCCCTGTTAGCATACAGTCAGATAGCGAGGCAGCCCTGGGGCTCGGGGAAGGGGAATCGATACGTTGGTATGTCATCGGGATGCTGTGCCTTTCTCAGGCTACATCTACACTACGGGGGGGGGGGTTCGATTTAAGATACGCAAATTCAGCTACGTGAATAGCGTAGCTGAATTCGACGTATCGCAGCCGACTTACCCCGCTGTGAGGACGGCGGCAAAATCGACCTCTGCGGCTTCCCATCGACGGCGCTTACTCCCACCTCCGCTGGTGGAGTAAGAGCGTCGATTCTGGGATTGA